TATAATAACAAGTATCATACCAACCATAAATAGAGTATCTATGTCATATAAAAATGTTTTGAATTTTTACTAGAATCGACCCTTGATAAACAAAGGGACTAGATTTAAGTTTCCCTTTGATCCAGTCTGAATACTATTTCTAAAACACTATATCTTATAAAAAATAAAATATTGTGCGTTGAATTTGAGGGATTTCATCTGAAAAATTATTAATTTGGAAGAAAACCGGCAACAAGCGGCAGAAAATAATAATATTTCAGTGCAGTCAGCTGGTCGCAACGACCAACGGACGGCCAGGACGTTAGTGTGCGCTGTATCGTTTGATTTAATGGTTTTAGAGCAGGTATATATAGGTAGCAGCGGCCTGGCCGGTGCGACCTGGTCGCCAGTGTGTTCGAGCCCTCAAGTCATATACATTCCAAGTCATATACACCGAAATATACGAGATTGTTGATAGAAAAAAACAGATCTTTATCTTTTTTTCAGTCTTTACTTTTGTGATGTCTGACACGCCAAGAAAATTAGTTTCGGTTTTACAAAATTTTGACACGCCGAGCTCAAAAAGTCCACCTCCGTTGTTCTAACTCGTTGCTAAAATTTATGGTTTATTAGTCAATAGTAAAGCAATATTTTTCCGCACGAGCTTATACCAGCAAACGCATTTTTTTTGATCAGGTGTAATGTAATTGAAATCCGAACAAAAGTTTTCTTAGAATTCTAAAACGTTAATCATATAATAATAAATTATGGAGATCTCTTAAATTCAAAAATCTTGATTAAGTTTTAAAATCATAAATTACTTTTTTTGTAAATCACAGGTAAAAATTGAACAATACACAAAGTTTTTGCTATTTATAAGCAATTGTAAAATGTAATTTATACCATCATTGTTTATTACATTTTTAATATTCCTTACACACATGCAGAAATAAATCAATTATTTCCAACAAACTACGGGCGAGGTGGTGTCATTAGTTTTATTGTCCAGTTACGTACACTGTACCCCAGTGGCGTGCGCTGTACTTTAGATTGGGGTCGAGGGGTTGATTATTGTACCTTTACCCTTAGAAGAGAATTGAATAGGTCAATCAATCCTGATTTATGTCATGTACTGACATACAAAATCTCGTTTTTTTATCTGAAAAAATAAAAAAGTTATAAGGGTGTTTACCACTTTCGAAAAACACCCGGTATATCATAAATGTACTAAAAATATTTAATAGGTACTATTTTTACTGTCTTTAATAACAATTAGTAGAAAATAATCAAATTTTTTAAGCTTAGAAGCTAAAAAATTCCAACCAACTTACTTTCCCACTTTAGCCCACAGTACGTAAGACAGAAATCTTTGAAACATGTCAATACTCTCAAATCGACATTTTTAATATAAAATCTTCGTAAACCAAATAATGTAAATTAATGTTAAATAAAATGCAAAAAATACGAATAAATATTTTTTGAATAAGTAAGTTGACGCCACTGGCGCCATGCCTTAACCTGAACGGCATTTAATGTCGTCCTGCTGTAATTTACCGCCAGCAGATCTTAATTGCCGGCACAATAAGCCAGCCCGGTGCTGGGCAATTTGAAATTAATATGTTTCCAGTGTTATAGAGAGGTACTTGTTATATAGTGTCGCGTACAGTCTATGGGAAAACAACGATGCTGTAGCGTCTATTAAATTGATATAATATAAAAGATGCATTAAAGTTTAAACGAAGAAACTTAGAGTTATTTTCTGAACTGTCGGTAAAATCTTTTACAGAGATTAGAAAGCTATTTACCTTAACATCCCTAAATAATAGTAAACATTTTAAAATTATATTTATTATGACCACAGACTTAAAATAATTCTTTCTTGAAGCAATTAATTTCACAAAGTCAATCGAGTATTATCAGGATTTTTATTTTCTTCTTCTTGCAATCTGGTTATTCCTGTAAAAAACAACTATTTAAGCCTCTTGTGAGCCGAATGTCCAACTTTCGTACCATCTTTTTGGTGGCCTGCCAGGTGGTCTGGGTGTGTTGGGTATTTGTGTTCGCGACCACTTTGGTATTCTATCTTAGTCAATTCTTTCAACATGGTCTGGACAATGACGCCTTCTTGATCTTCTCCACCTCACTATGTCTTGCACTACCAGTTCCTCTCTGATGTCGTGGTTTCGCATTCTATCTCTTAAGATATCTTAAGATGGAATGTGAAACCACGACATCAGAGAGGAGTCACTCTAAGGAGTGACTCCGCGTATTGTTCTCGATACTTTCATTTCTGTTGTTCTAAGTACGAGCCCTAACAACAATATGTTAGGACAAGGTCATATTTTGGAATTATTGCCCTGGTTTTTTAAAATGACTGAAAAATATACGTTTATTTTTTTAAATATAAACATAGCCATACATCCTAAACAACTTGACAATATTTTTATGAATTTGTAAATCAATCCATATTTACAGTAGCGGATTTTGTTCATAAAAGGACAAATTTGCTGACAACTAAATGTTGGAACAAGTATTTTTAAATAATTAATATCATCATAGGCGCTTTGCTATAAACGTCACAAATGTCGCAAACTGTTTACTTCAGCATTGACAGCTTGTAAGTGACTCGATACTTTGAGTAGTGAGATTTACTGTAAGTAATTTTAATTTTTTTAATTTTCAATTTTGTTAATTTAATTCAAAGTAATGGTCCGTGGAAAAGCTACAAATCAAAAACTACGCGAAATTATTATTCGTCAATACAGTACGGGAAAAATAATTCGAAAAATTTCTGATGATTTAAGTATTCAAAAAACAACGGTCTTTAAAATAATAAAAAAATACGGCGAATCTGCCAATGTAGACGTTAGAGGTAAAAGTTCGGGAAGGCCAAAAGTTGTATCTCAGATAGACAAAATGTAGTAAAATTTTGCAAGTCTGCGAGAAGAAGTACTCTTCGCTAAGTAACAGTTAAATGGAATACTGTAACTGGTTTAAATATATCAAGAGAATGTTGCCGAAAATATATCCATAAATGCGGTCTGGGGTTTTACAAGGTAAACTTTATTTTGTGTGGATAATCAATTACCTCAAGATTATTGATACAAATTCTTATTTAGGCCGAAGAAAAACCGCTACTGACAGAAATTCAAAACAAAAATCGCTAAAATTGGGCAAAATCTAAGTTATCGTGGACACAAAATGATTGGAATAACGTCATATTTAGTGATGAGTCTAAATTTGATGTTTGCGTTGGAGATCATCGAAAACGAATAATACGAAATAAAGCAGAAGCCTTTCATAAAGATTGCTTGAAGAGGGTTGTTAAATTTCCTAAGGGGATTATGGTTTGGGGTTGCATGTCAGCAAGAGGTTTGGGCAAATTAAATTTTATAGATGGTACTGTTAACGCCCAAAAATATCAACACATACTTGAGACCTCACTTTTGCCTAGTGCTCTAGAATTGTTTCCAAACGAAGATTATGATGCCATTCAGCAAAATCAACTAAAAATTAGTTCGGTAATAATAATATAAAAGTTCTATCCCATCCTGCAAGTAGTCCGGACCTCAATGTTATAGAAACTGTGTGGCATAAAATGAAGCAATATTTAAGAAACCACCCTCAACAAACAATTTTTGTTTTGCGGACAAAACGGCAGGAAATTTGGGATAATTTTTCTCCTCAAATGTGCCAATCTTTGGTAAATACAATGCCATTAAGAGTTCAGGCAGTTGTTAAGGCGAAAGGTGATGTTACTCCGTATTAAACAAATTTCTTGTTGTGCTGTCCCAATATATAGTTGTCAGCAAATTTGGTTTGATTTTGGCAAACTAACGTATTATCAAAAGTGATTTGTTTGCAAAGTTTTAAGAAATATAGTAAAATTGTCTAGATCATATTGTAATGTTTGAATTTAGAATAATAAACAAAATAAATTGAGTCGTTTTAACAAATTACTATTTTTATTGCAAAAAAAGACCTTGTCCCAACATATAGTTGTTAGGGCTCGTATTGTCTTTGTTTTTGATGTTTCGGCTGAAGTCTCTCTAGCATAGGTAAAAACTGGTCTAACACAAGTTGTGTATATGCGAACTGTACTTTCTCTTGACATAAATTTATTTCTCCATATGGCATCTCTTAAGTAGCCAGATATTTGTGCTGCTTTATTTACTTGAACCCTTGCATCGTCTGAGAGGTTTCTATAAAGGATTTTTATAAAAACCAAAAAAAAAACTTTAAGTTAAGTGAGGTTGCTGGGTTTTGGGATTCTGTTTGATTTTTTTGGATTCCTCGCTCGGAGGCCTTGGGCTCATTGCGATACCCCTGTATTATTGTACCAAACCTTCCCCTCATTCTTTCTTTGCGTTAAAGCACTTCCAGCTCTTTGCAAAGTTCCCGATGTCGCTGATGTTAGCTTCTGCTGCTTCCTCTGGTCCCTCCAAAAACCATGCCCTAAATGCCAGTGCCGGACAGTGGCACAGCAGGTGTTCTAGGATTTCTTCTTTTTCTCCGCATTCTCTGCAGTAGTCGTTGTTGGAAATCTTCCATCTCACGAGGTTTACTCCCGTGGAGCAGTTTCCAGTGACGACTCCTACAATTATGCATACTAGGTTCTTTTTGTGCTCTAGTTGTTGTTTTGTCTTTTTGCTATCTACCACTGGTCACAGTCTTCGAACTGTAGCGCAGTCCTCACGGTGTTGCCGCGTTTCTTGCTGCTTGGCCTTGATGGTAGTTTCTATATCTTCCTTCAGTATGTTGGTCGTCACAAGTGTAGGGTCATCTGCCACGGTCTCTCTCCTGGCCCCCTCTTTGGGAGACTGTCTTCTTCTTGGTTGCCCACCACATTGCTGTGGCATGGCACACAACACAGAATACTTCGCCTTGAGGCAGTCAGGAAAAGGCTTTTTGGCAGTCCACATAGTTTTCGATCTCAATGATTAATTGGTCATACATTGAAATGTCAAAAAAGACAATTCACATATCTATCAAGTTATAATAACTCACATTTTTATTTTCAGGCTTCTACTATAGTTTTCTTTGTGATCCCGATGGTCATCATTACCGTGCTCTACATTCTCATCGGTAGACAACTCAAACAATCTACCGCCAAAAGGCCATCCCTGACTCAGCACAACAGCAACTCCACATCTGCAGGCTACTCTACCTACAACAACGACATCGCTAGGAGAAGACGTCAAACTCAGGCCCAGAACAGAGTAGTTAAAATGCTCAGTAAGTACCGGATTGAATATGATTTGTATAAAAATTTGACTTTTATAGAATTTCTTTATAGAAAATAACATCACCGTTCCTCCTATTACCATTACCGGTAACGACTAGACAGCTAACTTTTCATTCATAAGGATATTTCGGGATTTTCATTTTTTCTTCCATTATAAGCTTAATTCTATATAAAATTTTAGCGAAGTTAAAAATGTTTGTAACCACAAATAAAATCAGAAGAGACCACTTCGATTAATTCCGGTTTTCTACGTTTTTCTCGACTGGAAAGTCAGTAACCAGTAAGCGGCTAGGCAGCTAACTTTTAATCCATAAGGATATTTCGAGAATTTTCGTTTTTTCCTTTGGTTATAAACTTAAAGCTACCTAAAATCCAAAATTTGAAGTTTGTAACTCTTCAGAAGTACCTGAGAATTTTGATGCTATATCAGTGAGTCAATGTCAAAATTAAAGAAATTTGACAAGCGATAATTCATAAACTATGAAGTATAATTACTATCCTCTGTTTTTTTTCTCAGGTAAGATTTCGACAGACGATGACAGAAGAAAAGCAGATGACGTCCCATACCAATCTATTTATTTTGCTAAAAAAGTTTCTAATAATTTTTAAGTTATCTATGGATGGGTTTAAATATAAATCCGTCATGCGTCGTGTCTTCTTGTTTTTAACCAGTTTTATTGGTTTATTTAAAAAATGACAGATCGTATTTCAATTTTATTGGTTTGACGGAACGATGAACGACAAACGGACGCCGATGCGTATGAATTCGCCTTTAGATTTTTGTCATTTTTGACGCTTGTCAAAGTCTTTTTGACGCTTGGAAAAGCCAAATTATAGGTTATAATTTTGTGTCAACTTTTGTTAAATACCCTGCGTTTTGGAAGATGATGCATTTTGATTCGTATTATTACGTGTGTTTTGTGTCTTTTGAAGTCAAGTGGAGGAAAAATCGAGTGAAAATTAACTGTAGACCCAGAGTACAGTTTATGGTTAATACACGCTGCCCAGGCAGAAAGTCTTATACACCAATGAAGTTGCCATCGATAAAGTTTGTCATAGATAAGTGATAAGTGCTAAGTGTAAATAAGTGATAGATAAGTCATTTCGTCGTAGATAAGTGCATCTCGTATATAAGGATCAAACTAAACACATACTAAAAACTGGAGTAGCTGTAAAATATCGACATCACACGATGGGTAAATAATGGATTTTAGTACTGCAGGAAAATATTGTCAAAAGGTACTGGTTTAAAAAAATTAAGATTAAAGTTAATTAATCAACCTTTAAGGTATAAAATTTGGTAGGTGTTATTATTAATTAAATAGTTTGTTGTATTTACCTATGTTGTTTTATTTATACCTGTGGAATATTACAAATTTGTATTTGTACATAAGTTATATTGATAAATATAATCATAAATGCGGCTAGTTTCATAAAGCTTGAAAGTAAATAATAGTTCTTTTTTATATTTTTTTGGTATGTAGTGTCTTGTTCTTGTTTGTTTTGTATTAACACATACCGTTTTTATTGAATAAAATAACTCGATTACATTTTTTCAGTTTTATACAGTTTTTTTCACAATATTTTGAAGTAATCACTTGTCATCTTGTCAATCAAATTTTAAATATATCGCTATGCGTTCCAGTTGTACCAACTTATTTCTTTGTAAAATAAAATAAACTACTTTGAAATTAAAATGACAGACACATCTATCACTGTCAAGGATCTTCTCGTTGGACAGACTATAGATATTTTGGTAACCTAGCCAGCTATAGTATGTCCTTATGTGTAGTGAAAATTAATATTCTTACTTTATTATATCAGCGAAGTTACAGGGTGGTAAAAAATGCCGCTAATACCTTCGAGAAAAGGATGATACGGCTGTGCTCGACTTGGCGGTCATCGATCATCGATTCTCAGCCGTCTTCGACGCCGTTTTTTTTCGATCATACGGCATAATTGAGCTCACTAATTTATTCCACTAATTTAAAAGTTCTGAATGAAGATTAATTGTTTCATAATTATCAATGAATATATACTTAGTTGATCGTCTGCACCAATAAACTTTGTGATATATACTTGTATTCATTTAAAATTTCCCAATATGGCGGACTTCAGTATGGTAGGCTTAAAAAACGAAAATCTCTAAACTGGAATCGACTGTACTTCAAATCGTTCAAATTGATAATCTGTGGTAAATCCAATTGAACTCTGACACTTGGCTGACATTGACGTTTACGGTTCCTTTTTCTAAATATTTTCATTATTTTTTGAGTTTTTATTCACAAATTCTACTTGATTTTGTTCTTTTATTTAACCTGCAACCTGCAGTACTAATTATATAGTTATAAATAATCTTTTCACCGATCAAGAATTGACGAATAGGCTGGAAGATATTCAAAATGTGTAAAACGCTTAAAAACGTATTAGAAAACATTACTCGTTCACAAATTCGTGAAAATAAATTAGAAAAGATGTTTTTAAAAAGGTCTTATTATTTTGAGAAGTAATTTTCAGGTTTGTGATATGTACTATATGATAATAAATAGATTAAAACTTATATTTCAGGAAACAGCGCTGGCATTACAGATTGTTGTAAATCAGTTTTAAAATATAAAGAAGGTTTAAAACAGGTTTAAAAGTTGAGTTAGTAGAGAAGACCTAAATAAGGTAATGTTGGTAATGGGACCAAACATCAAATAACACTTGAAATATATAATTATGTACAATAATTGTAAGTAGTTTTTATGAATATGTTTGATATCTATTGCATTGTTTTTATATTTCTTGAAATATATATTTTTTACTTTACAGGATACACAAAGAATAATAAAAAATACAGTTACTCACTAAAAGCACTTAAGGTTTGTAATAGATGTAGTTAGAATATCAAACACCAAACCAAACCAAAAATTATGTTTTATTTTACTGGTATTCCTCACATTTGAAGGGAAAGTAATTTCATAAATAAGCAGGACATTGTATAGTACACTCTATATTAATAATTGTTTTTTATCCTATAGTTGTTAGTTAACGCATCACTTACTAGGTATAAAATTTAGTACTGATTAACCTATAGTTGTGGTTGTGATATATTCTGATGTGTTTCTGGCAATCTAAAATAAGTTAATATTTAAACAAACATTTCTGGCTTTCCTGACAGGAGTGTGGACACAAATTTAATAAAGTATAATGTGGATAATGTTCTGATTATTACAGTTTGCATGGATGTTCTTATATGTTGTTATTTTTAATAAAGTATATTTAATGAGTTTTTGAGTATTTCTTTTTCCTTCAGAGGATTGTGTTCTAATCTTTATATATTATAAATTTTCATAAATTATATCTACAAAATTTATTACCTTATAATTTTTTGCTAAATACTTTGTAGTTCATACAGCTTAACAGTATATAAAAGAACTATTTAAATAAGATGTTTGAAAATATATAGCTGTTTTTTCTCACATCAATTCAATTTGTGATTAACTGTACTGAAATAAAAACAAATAATTAAGAGAAATGGGGTGATCTATCAAATATAACATGAAAAGCATCATCCTATTTCCAAGTCTTCTATTAATTTCACTTATTAAACAACTATAATTATTCAATAATCTTGATAATTCTAGGAACTCTCAGATATCGTCAAAACAAGAAAACAAAAATTTACTTCCTATAGTTCTTACGTCCCTTTAACTGAAATATAAGAAACAGGGGAGTTAATATTCTCACTGAGAAAGTTTATAAAATACCTTTAAGTAAAATCTCTTCGGATCTGCGGTAAAATACCTTTATTCTTATTAAATAATTTCAATAACCTATGTTTTTATTTATGACAACCACCAATAACCTAACTTTAACGTCAACTTGACAATCCTGAAAAATATTATTGTTAACCAAAGAGTAAATCAATTTCTGAATTTGCTAACGCCAACTTATTTTTCATTAAAAAAAAATTACCAATTTTCGTAACTAGGTCGGCCATATTGAGGAACTTTTAAAAGAATAGTACTATATCTCTATAACCTCAAATAACGTTTTCTTCTCCTTTATAGAAAACACATTACAGAGATAAGACCCAAATATATATACTTTCGGCATTATATTCGAGAAAGTTTCTCAGTTATAGGAGACTCGTATGCGTGTGTACTTCCAAGATAAAAATCTTCGAAATAAGGCCCGTGGTTTCATATTAAAAATCGATCTGGGTGAATTACCTATCGACTTAGTTTTATCGGCCATTTTATATGGAAATACGAGGCTTATTCCGACATCGATTTCGAACTTTTAAGCTGAATCTACATATATCTATCTATCTATATAAAAATCCGCCATTTTTTTTGGTGTAATGGCCATTGAAAGGCCCAGGAATTCGGATTTTTTTCAATATTCCATTTAGTTTTTATTGGCCTTGAGAGATAAAAAAGTTTTTTTATGTAACGCCATTGAAAATTTGTTGCTTATATACCGGGTCTTTTTCGTTAACATATTTAAAGAAATACTTCCACTACACTAGTTCAGCTGTCGTTATGAACACAGATATTGCACTTTAGATTGAAATTTAAAATACTATTTTTTAACTGGAAATGTCAAAAGTTGATATATAATATGTCATTCTATTCAGAATGTAATTTTCTATAAAATAAAGTATAAAAAAATACCGAGGCCACCACTTGAAAATCAAAAATTGTAGTAATTTCCGGTGAAGCAATTATTTGGAATAGCATAGATACAAATTTTGTATAGCATGGATACTATTCCAAAATTGGGAAAATACATTAATTAACTAAAAACTTATTTTTCAAATTTTTTGAAAAACTTTTTTTTAACGCCAAAAAAATTAACTGAATATATGTATAGGTACCTACGTCTATCAAAGCGTATTTCTCAACATCTTTTACTGTTATTATATAAATTGATATATTATCCATAATAACTGACACATAACTGGAAAATACTTTCTCCCAATTTTTTATAAAATTTTATCCTC